TTTTTTTATCTCTAAGATGAGGATTGGTAGGTACTAAGACGGGTGTTAGGGAAGGACCTGGCCTCCCATCCAGCCATTCCTTACTCTGACTCACTGTGTGACACTGGCTGAGTGACTTCCCTTGTCTGAGCCTCAATTTCCTTATCTAGAGCATGCCATGAGGAATCTATGAGATACTGGTTGCAAAGCCTGCAGAATGAAATAAATTTTTTTTAAAAAATAAGAGAAAAACCTTCTGAAGAGGAGGCGGAGGAATTACTCAGGCCCTGGTAAGGCAGGCACTGGGCCATGTGATTCACAGCCTCATGGGGCGTGAGAGGGCTACCTCCCCCACTGCCCAGTCGGCCCAGGGGTAGGCACAAGTGACTTGTTTCTCTATAGTACTTGTCTATAATTGGTCCAAATAGGGCAGGGTTGGTGGTTGTAGGGTGTGTGTATGCGTGTGTGCATATTTATGTGTGTGAGAGAGAGACAGAAAGACAGAGACAGATAGAGTTTATGTCTTGAGCTTCAATTAAAGGGTTGAAACATTTTATTCCACATATTAAGATTTCTGTGTGCTTACCAACTTCCTCAGACTGCTGAGGCCATTATGGAATCACCATCCTTAGGGCCCAGTGGCCCATCCTGTGGGAAACTTTTTAAAATAATGTTTATATCTTATCCATGTGAAGATCCTTTAATTGCTTCAGAGTGCTCCTCGATTCCTGGTGGGGGAGGGGATTATTTTTATGTCCATTTCTCGGACTGATAAAACCTATGGCTTCTTTGGGTTACTGAGATAACCCAGTGAAATGACAGAGGGGGCTTTGAGAGAGTCGGAAAGGACTTCGCAGGTATAGGTTAGCTCACAGAGATTTGTGGGGAACCCTTCCCTATTCCTCAGGGTCGAGGCCTTCCTTTGAAGGATATTCAAAGGAAGAATATCCTTCCTTTGCTCAGTAAAGGGTAGTTTGGCACCTGACCATAGCTCAGTCGAAAGAGTTGTTACCTGTTGCTTTTTCATGGGTAGCAAAAGGGCTGAACCAATTGAGGCCAGCAAGAGGGCCTGCTCAGAGACCCAAGGAGTTAGAATTGGAGATGGAAGGGCCCCTAGACACTATCTTGTTCTGGGTTTCCCAAACTGGGTAAGCATCAGAAACCCTTGTTCACTTTGAAAAAATAAACGTAATTCCTAGACTCCACTCTGGAGCTCCAGAATCTTGGAGTTACAACCCAGGAATCTATTTTCAGAGCTCCCCAAGTAATTCCGATGCACAGCCTAGATTGGGAGCCACAGGTCAAGCCCATTTCCCAGTTGGAGCAGTGGAGACTCAGAGAGTCAGTTAGCCATGGTCCTACAGTGAGTCAGTATCATTAGGGCCAGGAGAATGCATCTGCCTCCCCTCTGAGGCCTTCTCCCCAAGGCCATCTGTGGGCTTCACTCACTTCCAGTCCCAAAGGGAGGCATGTGATCTAAGCTACAGAAAGTGAGTCAACTCCTCATCCACATACAAACACTGGCTGCCTCAGTTTGCCCTCTATGTTCAGCTCTCTCTAATAGCTGCCATTTGGAAGTTCAAGCTGGAAGGCAGCTGCAATTCTGGGACCCTAGGCAGAGGAAGTCCTGGCATCAGCAGCACCCAACACAGGGCCTAACCCTAAGGAAGAGCTGTAGAGGGGTGTCAGCGAGGTTTGTAGAGCGAGGAGGGACATGAGGTACAGTTCAGGTAGGAAGTTCGATGGGAGCAAAGGCACTGAGACATGGGACATCCTGGGGACTGGGGCTGGTATTGGGAAAAGTGAACAGATAAGGCTGACAAAGGGACCTTATAAAGGGGAACCACTGAAGAGTTTATTAAGCAAGGGAATGACGTGCTCAGATGTGTTTGAGAGATCCCCAGAGCTGCATGTGGAGAGTAGATGGTAAGGGTTTAAGAGCAGGAGCAGGGAGACAGTCAGGCAGAGTTTGCAGTTACCCCAGCGATGGGTGATGGTAGCTTCAGTTTGAGCCATGGTAGATAAAGAGGGTAAGACCCGAGAGATAGACATTTGGGTGCTAACATGGGCAGACCTTGCTGGTGGCTTACGTATAGAAGCTGAGGAAAGGGGGGAAGTCCAGGATGAGTCTGGCTTGTTTTCTAAAACCAATTACAATGACCCAGTGGGTGGTGATGGTAGGGCCATTTACATGTAAGAGAAGGAGCAGGTTTAGGGGAAGATACTGAGTTGTATTTGAGACTTGCTGAGTTGGAGAGACCTGGGGGGACCTCCAGATGGAGGTGGCCAGCAGGCATTTGGATGTAGGGTTGGAAAGCTCAGAAGAGAGGTTTTAGCCAGAGATGTTTGCTAGTTTTCACTACCAGTGCATACCATGGACCACACGGCGGCTCATGGGGAGAGCATGCGTGGTTCTTGGGGCCAGTCCCATCCTTGAAGACAGATAGAAAGGTCAGCAGTCATGCTGGGGTGGATCACTCATTACCTGCACAAACTTTGCCTCAGAAATGCCTTTGGGGCATATTAAAGCGTATTTGCATAAAGTGGAGACCATTTCACATACACCGAGAGTAGTGGCTGTTGCAAAGAACTGAGAGAATACACCTGAAAACCAAGTCACACATCAGTAATTCCTGTAGTTCCCTCGATGTTCTCCCTGTTGAGGGCATCCTGAGAGGCCATAGAGGGAGGCTTATGGTAAGAAGAGGGGGCTCATGACAGGAGGGGTTGGTGGGCAGTGCTAGGGATTTTTGGAGAGCAGCAGTTTGAGATTCCAGGGATGTGTCTGAGAAAAGACCTAGATTTGGTTCCTAGTCAACTGAGGCCTTCCAAACAAACAACAAAATGTAAAGACTTGGGTAGCTGGGAAAATGACTTCCCCAAACAGTAGTAAAAGAATTGAAGTTTCTATATTGCAAATGATTGGCACCACCATTCCTTGGCCCTTTCAGGTGCCTCTGTCCCTGGGGCAGGGCCCAGCTGAGGCTTCCTGCCCCCTTAAGGGGGAGTGACAGCTAACAGTACCTCAAACAGACTCAAGCCATGGCTTTTGGGGGGCCAGTTAGCTAAATGCCTTAGGCAGATGTGGAGCTGGCCAGACACTGTCTGGGTGGGGCTAAGACCTGTCTGGAATGAGGGCTGGAAGCACAGTCTGCCACTGGCCAGTCCGGGAGTTAAGTTCCCTTATCTGAAGAGAGCAGATATCCTTGGAGCACTAAGTCCGGCCCCTCTAGTTTCTTGGACCTAGAAGGTATCACACCTCCAAAAGGTGCCTCAAAACACACACAGGGCTGGAGACAAGGCTGCAGGGCAGCTGTGAAGGAGCCTCAGCACTCCTAGGTCTGCCATTGGTTTATTGCACCCCCAGGCTTCCCTTTTCCCCATTTGTAAGTCTTGGACTTGGTCATTGCATTTGTCTGACATATAATAGGGTGTCAATAAATATTTGGTGAGCAGTTAAGGGAAAGTGACAGAGGGGAGAAAAGAGGGCATTTATTCATTTTACAAACGTTTATGGAGTACCTCCTTTGTGCTGGCCCTGTGCGAGGTGCTGGGTGGGCAACAAGGCAGGCACAATCCCTGTCCTCATGGAGCTCCTTTCTAACAGGGAGACATACATGACAACTAATTCTAAGTGCAGATACTGCAGGAACATATGAGGAGGGGGCGGGCAAGGAAAAGAGGAGAAGTGGAAAAGCCATTCAGACCAAGGGAATGACATGTGCCAAAGCCCCAGGCAGAAGGGAGCACTTTCGAGGAACTGACAAGAGGCCATTGTGGCTGGACAGAGGGGGCAGGGAAGTGTTCCTGAGCTGGGCCTTACTTGTCCCCATGCTCAGGAGTTCGGAGTTCACCCCAGAGGCAAAGCAAAGGGAGCCCTTCGCAGGGCTGCAGAAATTGGAAGGGACTATGTTTTCACGAGCTGTTTGTAGTGTGGAGAGTGCCTTGTAGAGGGCCCTGAAGATGAGACGGAAACCAGTTAGGCTGGAGTGGTAAAAAATATATGGATTGTAGAGCTACTAAGAAGTTGAATCTGCAGGATTGGAGTCTGGCTGGATGTGTGATTTGAGAGGGAGAGAAAGAGAAAGAGAGGAGTCATGGAGAAAGCCCAGCCCCTGGCTTGAGGAGCTGAGTGAATGGAGGTGCCATTCCTGGGATGGGGAAGGAAGGAGGAGGAACCAGTGAGGGGCTGGGGTAGGGGTGTGGTTTAGAGCGCACTGAGTCTGAGGAGCCTGAAGACAGGGCACCTAGGTGGTGGTGCCCAGTAGGCATCAGCTGTGCCCATCCTGACCCCAGAGTAAGGCCTAAGGTTGAGGGGCACAGGTGTGTGGGTGAGGCCCAGAGGGGGAGTGGCAGGTTCTGCCTGGTGCTGGCAGCTTCTAGCCCTCCAGGGCACTTCCCCGTGCAGGGAAGGGGTTAAGTCATGGAGGGATGGCTCCTGGAGAAAGCGGGGAAAGGCGGGACTGGCAGGGCTGGCCCCAAGGAGCTGCAGCTGGCAAAGAAGCTCTTCCGCCTGGGCCTCCTAGGCCGGCGCTGCTGCCTTCGCCTTTACCTTCACCTTCCCTGCTCCCCCTCCAGCTTCTGCCAGGCTACCCTAGGCCGGGCCTCCCGCCTAATGCATTCCAGGTGTGGACACGGCCCCTCCCCCACCCCGGGGCTGCTGAAAGGGGGCAGGGAAGGTGTGGGTCTTTCACTTTGCATCTCTTAAGGGCTCCAGCCTCTAGGCCTCCCTGCCTGCTGTGTCTCCGGAGAATTCCTTCAGGGATTTCTGTCTACTCCCTGTGGCTTTGGCAGGGTGAGAATCCCCCAGGTCCAGCCCTTCTATTTTCTAGCTTCATGTGACCTTGGGCCAGTCACTTCACTTCTCTGAGCCTCGGTTTTCTCATCTAGAAAATAGGGTTATCATTCTCCACCATCTAGGGTTGTCGTAAGAATTAAATTCTACAGGTAAAGCCCGCAGCTCTCATCATGGCACACTGTAGCCATCAACAAATGGCCCTGGACTGCCCTTTTTGTCCCTGCCCCTTTGCCTCTCTGGCCTGCATTCCTCTGTCTCTGTCTCCCTTCTGACTTGTCCCGGAATTTTCTGGCTTCCTCTCTAGTTGTCCAGTTCTCTGGGTCTCTGTAGTTTTCCTGTCTTCTCCCTCCTTGTCTTTGTCTCAGTCTCTCTGTCTTTTTCCTTCATAATCTCTCTCAATTTTGACCAGGACTTTGATGAGGAGGAAGGGGAGATGGGTGGGTGTTTGGGTCCCTGGGGTCATACACAGCAGAGGTCAGAGAGGCCATCCCCTAGTGGCTTTGTCCTCACTAGGAGGGAAATCCCAGCCAGCGTGGCAGCCCTGGGACCTGGTAATTACTGCCCCTAGTGCTCCCAGCTGCAGCTCCACTCCTCTCCCTTCCCTTCCTGTCCTCTGAAGTCCCCATCCCCTCCCGGGGGTGGAGCTACCACCCCCATCCTTCTCTGGCCTTAGGTCTAGAGACACTGGGAGGAGGTAGCCAGGCCCTCACTGCAATTTAGCAACTAAAAGAGGGAAGGGCTGCCTGTACTCCCATGTGGCTGTGTGGTTTGTGTGCGTGCGTGTATGTGTGTGTGTGTGTGTGTGCGTGCGTGCGTGCGTGTGTGCGTGCATGTACGCATGCCTGTGCCTGGCTGCCTGGCTGTCTTTGTCCCCATGGGTCTGTTTTGTGTATATCTTAATGTTCTTCTTTCTGTTTGTCCGTGTGTATGTTTGACTGTGTGTCTGTAAATTTGTGTATGTCTATGCGTGTCATGGGGCCTGTATATGTTGTTGTATGTTCCTGTATGCCCAGGTATGTGTAGGTCTTGGCTCTGTCTAAGCCCCTCGAGGTTTCTAGATGTTTCTGCATGTGGATCTTTGTATGTAGATCTTGTGTATGTGTGTTTCTATCTGTCTGTGACCGTTTGTGCTAGTGTCCGTCTCTGTATGTCCCCTAGTACCTTGGTGCTGGTGGTTAATGTGGGAGGGGGTGCCTGCCTGTCTTTTTCTCTTTCCTGCCCCTTCCTCCTGCTCTGGAACCTTCTTGCAAACCCGAGCTCTCTGTTCACACTGTGCCCTCAAACACACTCTTCACTTCTCCACCCCTACTATTCACACCTTTGCTCACTTTTCTTCCCTTGCCTGCAGGACCATGCCCAGTCAGTCCATACCTATAAAAGCATACCCCATCCTGGACTGCTGAACTCAAAAACTACCTCCTTTAGAAAGCTCTCTCCCCGCTTCCTTTCCAAATGTGATTTCCCAACTCAGCAAACATTGACTGAGGATGTTCTCTGTGACTCTAGACACAGACACACTTGGGATACAGTCTCGACTCAACCACTTCTAGCTGTGTATCCTCAGGCAAGTTATTTTACTTCATTGTGCCTTAGTTTCCTCATCTATAAAACTGAGCTAATAAATAGCACACAGGGTTGTTAGGAGGGTGCTATACAAGGAAGCATCAACATAATGCCTGGTTCAGAGTAGGTACTCAACAAACAGTTGAATCCCCATACCTTATATCCTTCACTAAAAAGTGAATACCTTGAGTTCCAGAGAGTTCAGATAGTTCTTGTAATCCCCTGTTCTCTTCTCCAGGCATCCTGCCTAGGTCAGAATGTGAACTGGACCAGACAGAACAAAAAGCAGATTCCACTTCAGGGAACTGCCAACAAGTATTACCTAAGTCAGTCCCCTGAGCCTGCTCAGGTCCAAGGGAGACTGGGCTCTTCTAAGGGGGTGGTGGATAAGGGGACCTTCATGGCTGCCACCCAAGAGCCAGAGCACATAAGATAGGACAGGAGGTAAATAGCAGAGGTGGGAGGGGCTTTAAGGACCATCTAACTGAGATACTGCAAAGTGGTGGCCACAAGTAGAATTTGACTCACAAGTTTCATTTGACCTACTCACTGTTTTTAAAATTAGGGGATTTCACATAAAAGTCTGGATTTCTGGTTTTCTTGAAATATTGGAAGATCTGAAAAATACAGAACCCTGTTACAGCAAGGTGACAATTAGCTAGAGGGGAGGAGCTGCTGTCCCTATTTTGGGTGAGGCTTATGCTCTCCTGTTTACCCCAGTCCTAACTATTTCCTATTGACTTAGACTGTCCCATTTGACAGAAAGTTCCTCACTTTACACAAGGGGCCTCACTTTACAGAAGGGGCTTCACTTTACAAAAAAAGAGTTCCTCTATTTTACCAGAGTCTTCTATTTTGTCAAAGAGTCTTTTATTTACAGACAAGTCATCCATTTTACAAAAGGGTCTTTACTTTCTAGAATACTTTCTCATTTTACAGAATGTCTCTGCACTTTGAAGAAGGCTCCTCCATTTTGTAGAAACTTCTTCCCTTTACAGAACAGACCTTCTCTTTATCAAAGAGACCTCCATTTTAAAGAAATTTTTTCCATTTTGCCAGAGGGAACACTCTGGGAAGCTCCCTACTTGCCAAAATTACTCCCACTTTCCAAAAGTGCCTTCACTCTGTAGAAGGTGCCTCCATTGTTCTTTAGAGTCCTTCTGTTCAGAAGACCAGTTTGTTTCAGGGAAGGAACCTTATAGCTACCCACAGGGTTCCCCCTGCACTTCTCACACTTGACAGAGCTTTGTGTTTGAACTTTCAGAGAGAACATCTGCCAGGTCAAGCAAGGCCTGGGTGCAGTCTGGCCACAAAGGTGAAGTGAGGAAGCTGGGCTGGACCCCATGTTCAAAGGAAAGAGGTGGGGGAGCTATGCCTTTTCCCCAGCTTTTTTCTCAAGCTAAGGGACTCCCCTTCCCCCCATGGATGTGGCTTCCCAAAAAGCACTTTCTTATTTGTTGTTCTTTCTTCTCCACTCCCTCTGTTCACTTTCCCCCATCCTACCCCACCCCCAGGAATTCCAGCAGTCCCTGGGGCCTACCTCTTAGCTTGAAGAGACAGAAATCTGGGTGTGCACTGGAGATCAGGAGGCCTGAGTGCTGGGGCCAGCTTTGGCCCACTCTAGCATCTCACCATTTTTTCACAGTGAGGAGCAAATACATATTCTCCCCATTTTACAGATGGGGAAATTGGGGTCCAGATCTGTGAAGTGACTTCCCAGGTCACCAGGGAGTTAATGGCCTGGACAAGGTTCAGTCTGTGGCCCTATTAGCTAGCTGTCTTGAAATTAAGCCGGGTCTACAGCTGGGAGAAGGGAGAGGGGGTGCTGCTGACCAGGGAGAGGGAAAGCTGGGAGCCGAAATTCCCAGAAAGAGTTGAGGGAGAAGCAGTGGCTGGTTGCCATGGGAAGGGGCAACCAGAGGAGTACTTGTCTCAAACTCAGTGAGAGGATAGACTTGCTCTGCCAGTAAGCCCAGAAGCATGTGCTCGAGGTGCCTACTAAACAGGGTCATGCAGCAACCAGAAACAATTTTTGGAATGATTTTACTATTTCAGTAACAATGAGGTATCATGGGAAATTTCAAAACTGTTATATTTGTAACATTTACTTTACAATTTTTTATGGTTTATAGCTTGAATTAAATTTGAATGTGGGAGTGTGCACCATTGTCTTTTCACTGCCACCTGCCTCTAGTAAGAATTCTACCCTGATCTGAGGAGCTGTTGTGGAGAGGGGCTGGATTCTGTGTCTGTCTCTGGCTGGTTTGGTCCTGTTTCTCAATGTGTCGATAGCTTTGTGTTGGGTTGCAGCTTGCAGCCTGTGGGCTTATGTATCTGTGTGAGTGTGTCTATATGTATAGTGTCGTGTCTTTGTGCAGGTGTGGTTCTATTGGCTCTCAAGTTATACCCAAATTGCTCTATGGTTGGGAGGCACTACGTCCTTTCCTTTCGTGGTCTCATGGATTCCCAAAAACAGGGAGCCGTGATTATTATCCGATTTACCAGACAAGGAAACTGAGGCTCAGATAGCTGGAGAGGCTTGCCCACTGTCACACAGCTAGTAAATGGAGGTGCTGGGATTTAACTGCAGACTGTGTGACTTCCGAACCAGCTGTTCCTAATGAAGGTTCCACGACACCTTAACCCATGAAGTCCAATCAGCAAATGTGATCATGCCACCCTTCTTTGGAATAGCCAAGTACCACAGGTTTTCAATTATTGATTTTGTTTTTTAATAAATGAGACCAGATTCAGGTTTATCCCTGAAATGTCACTGTCATGAGCATTCAGGAGACCACTGCGGGGAAACTGGGTAGACTCCACAGCTTGCCTGAGACCTAATGGATAAGAGTCCGGGAGTCCCTGGCCTCCAGGTGCCACCTCGGAGGCCTGGTTCTGCCTCATTCACGCGAAGCCCTCCTTGACAAGGGTTGCTGGAATTCACCCAAAAAAGTAGTTAGATTTGAATTTCAGATATACAACAAATAATTTTTGGTATAGCATAGTAAGTTTTTAGTATAAGTATGTATGTATGAGACATGCTAAGAAATTATTCACTGTTTATCTGAAATGCAAATTTAACTGGGCAGCCTATATTTTATCTTGCCACACCGTGGCTGGCCTTTCTCTCCCCTGAGCTTCCCCAGTCCCGATAGGCTGACCCCCTTGCACCTCCTGAGGCCACACTTAGCTTCTCCTGAATGAGATTCTTTTCTCTTTGTGATTGAGAGCTCCCTGAGGGTCAAGATCAAGATTGCCCTCCAGCCTGCCAAGGGCACATGCCCATTCCTCCACCCCACAGCAGAGCTGGGGCAGTGCCCAGGCACTCCTGAGGTGCCCTGGATATGCTTCCTGTGGATGACAAGAGACACTGTAGTGGCAATAGTGGCTGTGTGTGTGCATACTGTGTCAAGCACGTTGCACACAGACCCGTGAACAGCTCTGGTTCTCACTAGGTCTTTGAGGGCTGTTCATAGTCAGTGTGTGTCTGGGTACAGTTTCACAAAGTTATAAGGTTTGGTGTGACTTTCTGTGGAGGTGGGGGCTTTGTGGCCTCCTACTCCAGTGGGCACTGGGGACTCTAGTAAACCCAGTGGTAGAAGAGGCAGTGCTTGCTGGTGGAGGCTTTGTCGAGATGTGTAGAAGTGGGTGCGCGCGCACACGAGAGAGAGAGCTTGATGGATTGTCTACCATAAAAAAATGGGCTGGAGAAAACCAATGTAGGACCCAGCTGAGTGGGGAAGGGATGGGGCGGTAGGAAAGGCAGTGGTATCTAGGAATGGGAGGGCCTCCCCTAGAGCACTCCTAGAGCAGGGATAGGATTTTCACATCCCCCAGCACAGAATCAACTGGGCTTAGAGCGGGGTTAAAAATATTTGAGGGATTAAATGAAGCCGAGGGATGCCAGAAAGTCCAGCAGATCATGAGGGACCACGGAGGCCTAGCTGAGAAGTTTCTATTTACCCCATGGGAGTCACAGAAGGTTCTTGTGCAGGTAAGTGGCATGGCCTGAGCTGAAGTTTCATGCAGCCACCTGGAGGGAGCAAGACCTGGGGCCAAGGAGAGCACTAAAAGAAAACATAGGAAGAGACAGGTAAATGTAGGCAGAGGTACAGGGAAGGGGAGCACTAAAATAGGAGAGGGAGGGATCTTGAACCTGCTTTCCTTCAATGAAGTCTCACCTGGTTCTTGCCAAGGCCTAGGTTCCTGAACTGGATCCCTGTTGTTCATCTTCCTGTGGGCAGGCCTAGGGGAGTTGCTCTCCCTAGCCACACTGCAGCTCACAACTTTCTGAAGCATTGAGGTACACCCCCACTCCTCCTGGTTTCCTTCTTTCCCAGCTTCCCCTTAGAGAGCATGGTTAAGAAACGAGTCCAGACCAGAACCAGTCTGCTGAAAGTCTGCCATTGACTTGCTGTGTGATCTCGGGCAAGTCACTGCCCCTCTCTTTGCCTTCATCTCCTCATTAAAAACTGGGCTGACAATCCATGCCCCTCTCACCTGGGAATCCAGAGTGCCCCAGAATATCTGAATTTCATTCAGCCTCCCATTCTGCAGGGCTGCCTGCACAGAGGCAGAGAGAAAGGAAAGGCAGGCCCATCCGTGGGCTCCCAGGTGAGGTGGGTGAGGAGGGAGAAGAAGGTGGGCCAGAGCAGGGCCATGAAGGGTGGTATGGTCACCCTATCCCCAGGACAACGAGTGAGGCAGAAGGAGAGAAGCCCTGGCCAGGCGCCCCGGACTGGGTGGGGACGGCTTGCCCAGGGAAGCCTGACTGCTTTGAAGTTGTGGAGACAGGGTCAAATGGGCTCCTCCAGCCCTAGGAGGCAGACAAGGGACACCTAGGACCCCAGCATCTATGTATGTATCTATGTGCCTGGCTTTACTCTTTGGATCTCTGGCCCTGTCAGCTACTCTCTGTGTCTCACTTTGTCTGGCCATGTGTCTCTCAAACTATGTCTCTGCCTATGCCACCCTCCAGGTGATTCATCCTCTTCAACCCCACACCCAGGGGGAGGGCAGGGCAGGACCAGGCCAGGATGTGCTGAGCAGGGCAGGGTGAACAGCCCAGCTGAGCTGAGAGGAACACTTTCTCCCTCCTAGCCAGGGCCCTGCCTGCTCAGGTGGGAAAGGAAGTGAGGAAACTGCACCCAAAGCAAGGTACAGGGGTCAGGGAGAGGGGCTTCATCTGGGGCCTGGGGCACCATGTTTCCTCGGGGCTGGGAGGGAATCTTGGCCTGAGTCCCTGGGGCCTACCTGACTGGACTGTGGCCAGGGTGGGGTCAGGGACCCAGGGAAGCTGCTGAAACTCCGGAGGTTGAGCTATACTCCTTCCTTCCAGGACTGGGAGACCTAAAATTTCCTGTGATGATCCTGTATGGTATCTCTGTGTGTGTTTAGCTGTGTGTTTCTGTAACAGGCCATATGACCGATTAGAACAGGAGGCAAGAGAGAGAGAGAGAGAGAGAGAGAGAGAGAGAGCAAGCGAGAGAGAGAGAGTGTGTGTGTGTGTGTGTG